GGGGGCAGGGACTGTGGTTTTATCCTGTGCCTCCCCCCTCGGCCTTATGCTCCTTCACCAAGCAGCCTGTGCCCAAAAATCCCCAAAGCAACAGATCTCCGGCCTGATCCAGTGGATCTGGGGACACTGGGCATCCCGGGGCAGTAGGTTGATCCCATTGCAGGTGCTCCCTGTCCCCATTTCCCTGTACAGGAAGGTGATTCCTGCTCTGGGAAGGGTCCTACGCCCATTGGGGTCTGAGCAGCACCTAACACAAGGGGGTTTGGTACATTTTGGGGGGGTCTTTGTGCTGATGAAGGGTCGTGGACCCCTCCAGCGAACGGGCTGGAGTCTGTGTTGAAACTGCAAAGGGGTCAGTGGGGTGACACGAGCTGGGTGTGTGCTCAGCCATCCTGGCTGGGCTGAGTTTGCCAGCAATGCTCTCAGCAGTGGGAGCCTTCCCGGAGCCAACGAGCCCAGTAAAGGTGTCCCCACAGCCTGGGCATGGAACAGAGCAACAGGGACCAGTGACTGCACAGCGAGGGGCTGAGCTGGGGGAGCACGAGCTGCACTCGAGTGACACCGACGCCGGGTGTCACATCCCCCTCCAGTCCCACTGACACCCCCCAGTCCCACTGTGACAGCCCAGCCCCACAGCTGCCTCCTTCCAGCCCCAGAGGCTGCAGCACCACACTGGGGGAAGGGAGCTGGCCACTAAGTGGTTAAATATCTCCTCCAGGAGCAGCAGAGTTCAATAGAAGTGTGTTCCCCCCATTTATGCCCCACGGTATTTGCTATGGGCTTGGCTTTGACAGCAGATATAGATTATGAAAAAGGGAAAGAAGGGAGAGGAGTCATTTGTGGGTCTCTCCTGGGTGAGCCTGACCCATGAGACATGCCAGGCTGTCATCTCTGGTCCCTCAAAACCCCAAAGCTGTGTCCCCCATGTCCATGAGCAAGCAGGTGATCACCCCCAGGCTCCTGGGCTCCCCATGGGAAGGGAAAACCTGGGCTGAAGAGAAAACTACCATCCCCTTTCCCCTCCCTGAAGCACCCCACTACTGCTCTCCCATGTGCTGTAGGACACACTTTGTCCCTGTCACAGGGTCGCTGAGAGGGGCTGCCCTGTCCTGCCTGGGGTTGCCACAACACAATCTCTGCCTGCAGACCCAGCACCCCCCTCAACCCCCAAGTGGAGCTGTCAGAGGCTCCAGGACACCCCAGCCCAACCTGCCCCTCAATTACTGCCACAGCCAGACGTGCCTGGGGCAGCAGTGTGGAGGAGGACCTTTCTCCCAGTGCTTCTTAAAGAGTTTGGGGTATCCTGACACCCTTTTAACCCCCCCAGCAGCCACCCCAGAGCTGATCCCAAGGTGTTTTCCTACCTGACAGGGATCTTCACACGCAGGTATCGATCCACGGCGATGGCCAGGAGCGCCAGGATGGAGCTCTCGGTGAGGATGAGGACGGGACAGGCCACCATGAGGCAACTGTAAAACTCCGTCTGGGGTCCGATGTTGATGATGATGGCCAAGGGGATGACCAGGGCCCCCACGGCCACGTCGGCCACCGCCAGTGAGACAATGAAGCAGAAAGTGGCATCTCGCAACGCCTGGTTCATCTTCACAGCCCAAATGACCAGGATATTCCCTGGCACTGACACCAAAGCGATGAGAACCTCGATGGAGATGTAGGCAGCCTGGAAGGCTGAGACCGGCTGTGCCATGATGATGCTCCGGTCCCTTCCTCGCTGGC